AATACTACTAAAGATTAAACTGATATTTCAGATAAAGTTCAGATAAAGTTCACCAACTGCGTAACTAATAATACCAGGTTAAAATTAGCAGTATAAATGGATACTGTGTGCATGACTCTTAAAAACCATGTATGCACACATTGTGGTTCAAAGTAAAGGACACTGACTCTTTGATTATGGGGGTGAAAGGAGATGCAAAAGTTAGAGATGAAACTAACACTTGACATTGCTGCTTGTTATCTTCCTCTCAGCCCACCTCTCTGTACCCTGAAGGACTTCCATCTCTCTTCAACTAATTAAGATCAGTAAATAAAATAATAATTTCCTCTGTATTTTGCGGGAAAAAGCTGCCAAGTTGTGAAAATGTTCTTTTCCAGAACATCTGCAAACTTCCCAAACATATGGGAGAATAGCTCACCCACTGGTGATAAGGGACATGCAGCTTCTACATCATGAAATGTTCTCAGAAACCAGTTGGAACTATATTTACTGTTACAGAATACTGCTTGCTGTGTATCTGGCAAAATGCCCTATGAGCATATCCTCTTCTCCCAACAGGGGGGTCATCTTACACTCGTGCACTCTCCTGCAGCCCACAGTGAGTTCTGTTATGCAACCCATCGGCCATGAAGGGGCATGAGAGTGAAAAGTGCAATTCTAAGTTACTGGACTTACATGACATTCAAAGTGTTTGAACAGGTGGGCGAGTGAATGATGATAAGCTGTTCGCTCTTTTTTCCATTACTGAGAGAGAAGGTAACAGCTGTTTATAAAAGATTTTATCCTCAGGAGAAAGGAAGCCGCACTCTCAACAAGTATTTCCTCTCTCTTGTTGTGCGAGTTGGAAATAAAACAGGAGAGAAGGGGACAAGTGAGGGGTAGTGGGCGAGCACATGCAGATGAGGAGATGCCCATGTGGTGGTGTATCAGGCACGAGGTTCAGCTAAGAGCGCCTGGCAGCACCAGCTCATCCTCAGCCACGTGCCTGCTGGGGACAGAGGAACACTATGGTGGTAAAACACAAAACTATTACACAAACAAATGTTGTGTTACGTAACTCACATTAACACAACCCACATATGCATGAGTCATTTTTATCAGTAAGTATGTTTCTGTGCCTCTGATTTACAACTTGTACATCATCTCATTCGTGTGGATCCTTTCCACGTTGTTTTGTGTCGAGCGAGGAAGGAATGCAGGAACACGAAGCACTCACCAGTAGATGGCAGTATGCAACATTTTGGATGGCAACCAACCACTAGGTAGCTGGGTTTGTTTTATAACCTGTTTTCTTATGATGAAAATGTTTTTTTCATTTACTGTAAAGAGTCCTAACTTAATTAACATGAAAAGTAAACAGCTACTCGGGTTTTACGAGTAACATATTTTACAATTTACACGCGACCTGCATTTGTGGACGTCGTGTGAATAAGTAACAATATGAGTTGTAAATTTGAGGCATTGATAAAAAATAATTTATACGTTTGTATATTGTGTTTAACAATGTATGTTACTTGAAATTTGTGAAAAGCCATATAGTACAAAAGCTCATGTCCTCTGATGTCAGCCACCACTTTAATCACATCTCATTACTCGGTGGCAAAGCAGGCTTTTATTTTGGTAAATTTCTCATGAATTACATCACTTTAAATGGTCAGTAAAAAGTCGGTAAAAAGTCAGATGTGACAATCAAACAGCTGAATACAAAGACTGTATATGTAATAATTTGCCCTCTCACCCCAAGTTAACCAATTTTCTTGAATAGGTATAACATTCCTCAAAAATGCTTTAGGACCATGTTTAGTCATATTCTCTATGATCAACTACCCACAACTTAAACATATATTGTAATTGTAGTAGGTTTAACAAAAACAAAAATTGGAACAATGGAAAACAATGGATTTGACACGTGATAGTCAAGCTTCCTCATCTCCCTGTTTCCAAGCAGTGTGATGCATGACAACACACACACACACCAACACACAAGAGGGAAAACTAGATTTATCTTTTCCTTGTACAATAAGTTTCTGACTGAAAGTTTATTTTTCCAGAAATCTCTGTGTGGGATGCTCAAAACTAATTGTATAAAAATACTTTGATAAAAAACTCAGCACTCAAGGTTGTGTGGCAGCACCATACAGTGATAAAATATAAAATAATATGAATAAAAATATTAAATCCACCAAATCAAGATGTGCTTGGTTTTTCATATGCAAATGGTGGCAAGTTTAAATGCAATAAAAAGTAAAACATGGTTCTGCTTTCAATAGATATTCAGAGACCTGTGGTCACTGACTTAATATTATAGGACACAACCACAACCAGTTGATATATAATATGTAGAAAGTAAAGAGAATGTTTATTAAAGCCTTATTTCAGCCAAATAAGTTCTTCATAGAATGAATGTGGATTTATATGCAGGCTGTCTTGGCACACAGACAGAATGGTTTAAAGGGATGATAAAAGGAAGCAGCAGTTCTACAGCGACACAAGGAGCCAAGATATAGTTTAACAGGCTGTTTTACAAGCAGTCAATACAATCTGTGTTCACACAAGGAGAGAATATGAAGCTCAGCTGTTGTTAAAGTGATGATTTGTGAGGCAACATCAAACTGTCAAACAAGCCTGTCCTGCTATATTAATCCAGTTAACTGGCACCATGAAGGCAGGAGTGGTGTCAACCAGACCCCTGAAATATACCTTTCACAAAAAATTGACAGATGCATTTCTTTTCTTTGACCAGATTGATTACGATCACGTAAAATGTCAAATATTTCAAACATATTGTAGAAAGTAATGGGTATGACTGCAACCCTTAGGTTTTTGTTTACAGCATCCAGTTGGTACAGATTCGTAGTATAACAAATCAAATGGTGAAAGTGACCACTCATTATAGCAACGCTACAGTGGTACATACTTTAGCTAATTGTTTGGGGGGGTTCTTATAAACAATGTGCGATTCCTGTGCAGCACCAAAACTAGCTTGGTGATGATGACAGTGGAGAATTAAGCAGCTGAAAAACACAGATAGAAACCACAGGTGGTGGTAGAGACCAAAAACAGGAGCTAGAAATTTGACAGGTTTCACCTCTAAATGAATGGTGATACTGCTCTGGGTCTACCAGATATGTGAATAAAAAACTGCCACCCAACAAGTTTGCTGTATCAACTCAAAAGGTCACGATATATTGTGATGACAAATCTGAAGTGGACAAAGATTGTTAGAAAATGATGGAGGAGAAAATCATTATAAAGCTTTGTGTAGCTGAGGGCAGTTAGCGATTCAGGTGATTATTCTCTGTAGGTTCATCACCACCATCACATCATCACACCGTCCTCACATAATTTAATATTGTTGATATACAAATGTAGATTATAGCTGCTTTATTTATCTATAAGTAACTATCTACCTGTTGCTGCCTTATACATGTTCCAGGATTTTCTCAGGTCAAAACTTGAGGCTTGATTGTTCAAAACTAAAGTTGAGACAAGTCTTAGAGCCAGACCAATATATCAGCTTATATAACAGTTAAGTGCTGAAATTCAATATATACGGGGGTTTGTAGCTTGCCAAGCGTACAGGGATTAGATTCTTGCAAGTGTTCACATACAGTAACATATGGCTCTCTGTAGATTTCTAAGAAAACATTAAGAGAACATGTTTTGCATCTCCAGGGGGATGAAATAATGAGAGCATAAAAGATATAAGTTTGAACTCTCTCGAAAGATGAACAAAGCATAACTTGTTCGCTGGAAAACTCAATGTTTGAGATCAAAAATGCTGGAGGGAGAACATTTTAGTTTTGAAATGGTGGATTACATCAGCTCACTCATAACAAGTACATCATGTACTTAAATAAATGGCTCCATTTGAATACCCAATGTCAACAAAGGACAATGACTTTCTAGTGATATAGATATAAATAGACAACAGCACATGACCAGGTTTGGTTCAACCACACAAATTAAGAGCCTCTTGACACAGCTAATAAAAAACAAGGCACAAACACACATCATAACCACTTGCACAGTGCAGGGGTCCAATTTTTACTGATGAAGAGCAGTGGTGGTGCTCAAAATGTCAACGGGTCTTAGGTGCCGCAAATTTGCAAAGATAATAATAACCTCTGGAGAGCGTGATACTTGAAACTTGGGCTGAGTTGAACACCGATATTCACGCGTCTGCTCGGTGTGACGGAGGAGCACAGCTGGCTGCCTCCCACATTGATAACACACTGGCCCTCCACACAACGCGCACCTGTCCAGCTCCTGCTCGCACTCTCAGCCAGGCTCACCGCCACACATGCTCACCGAGGTCACTGACCACAGTCGGGCTTATCTGCTCACTCTCCACTGCGATGAACCCAGCATGAAAACCCATGTAGGGTGTTGGTGTTTAGATAGGGGGCAAAGTCAAAAACATACCCCCCTCCCTCGCCCACACTGCCTTGAATACACAGACAGAGGTTAGGACAGTTACAAGTTTCCAATCTTTTCCAATCTTTTCCGATATTTCACATCAGGCAGTTATGTGCTTTCAACAGTGCAGCCACAGTTGAAGACAAAAGATCACTTCTACTCAAGCAACTGTGACCGATGTGCCTCGTTTCACTTCACCTGACCAGTCGAGGCCAGAATTGCGAAACCACCTCTTTCAAAATGGAAGCTTACAACCTGCAACCTGCTCGGAAACGTTTTTCACATCTTTCACATTAACGAGACACATAAAGATGATTCCAAGAAACTTGTGTGTTATCATGGTTAGAATTAAAATTAACAATTTTGACAACCTGCTATAACGTAGCCTGTAAGGGGCTAGTTACCTATAAGCTCTGTAACCTAACAATAATGTAGCCTTATCCTAATTGAAACATTAATATTATTAGGGCTGCAACTAGTGAATATTTCTGCTAATCTAAAAAAATGATCTTCTTTTCAGTTGGTCTATCAAGTAACATAATCCTTATCACAGTTTCCTATAGACCCAGTGGAAGATTTCAACTTGTTTCATTTTCTTCTCAGCCAATAAAACAAAGATGTTCAGTTTACTGTAAGACAAAGGAAGCAGCAAATCCTTAGAATTAAGAGACTGGAACCAGCAAATCAAGACATCTTTGTTTGACAAACAAATCACCTGAACTTTCACTGCTCAAGGAAATCCACAAAACCTTCAGGTCACAAAAAACAATCCTTGTTCAGTCGAAGCTTTGATTTCAAAAAATACATTTGTTGGGCACATAATAATAACACAATGAAACAAGCTCATTTCGCCCAGATCATGCGCAGCAGTAACTTCCCACACTCACACGGCGCTCTTCCTCCACATGGGTAGGCCTATTTCTAGCCTGCAATCGCACTGGCAAAGCGTTTTAAAAGGCTACTGGTTGTTATAGCTACTGCTGTTGATCTGGTGTCAGAGCAAAACATCTAAAGATGATTTACATTTGGTTTAGTATTATTCAGAGGAGAAAACTATTAGTTTTGGTCGGGCATGGATACTGGTGGCCGGAGGAGAAGAAGGAGACTGTCTCTTAACTCGGTGTCATGTGGCTCCACAGGAGGTGGAGACTGAGAAAAGTACAGAAAGGTCTCACACTTCAGGGGCTTTAAAAACGCACATGCTGTCAAGAAATGTGTGGAAGAATATCGATTTTTTTATTGATTAATCACGTGTAACTGCTAGTAAAACCTCCCTCACACATCAACCAAATTTTGGGCACAATCACGCACAAACTTTCATCAAACCAAAATAACATATAAAGCTGTAAACATCTGGATGGCTGGCACCGTGTTACTCATCCAGATGTTCCTTCCATCTGCTGCATATGTCTTTTAACTTCCAGCATCATCATCCAACGAGAGAAAGGACTCGAAGTGCAGCAGGGATCGGACAATAGATGAACGACTATCTGTCAATAACTCCCCGAAGCACATGGTCGTGACATCTGGACTTGGCGCTCATTGCCCGATGACCAAACATGAGATTTTTGGCTTTAATGATCACAGTCGAATGTCACACTATACACAACCATGTGTTCATAAAGGCCACACATGCATAATGCGCTGCGTGTTTCCGTATTTTTCTCTGGGCTACTATTTCCAGAGGTTGGGGGAAAAGGTTTTAAAATATCACTCCAGAGGCACCCAGCTTTAAAAACGGTCACATACAAAGACCACGTCAAACACAACATGATCATATATGTAAACAAAGCGTAAATAAAATTCTATAGGTTTGTTCAGTCTTACCAAAGGCTCTCTCTCTCGCTCTCTTTCTCGAAGCTTTCAGGTTAATTCCTCCGCTGAGTGTTGGAATAATTTGATGATCGATGGCTTTCTCCCTCCTTGTTATATATTCTGTCTCTCTTCTCGGTGTGGTCACTATATCTACATTTATGAGTGCTTTACGCACGTCGGGACCTTCGCTCTCCAAGCCAGCAGCTGCAAAATGCGCTCGGAGAAACGCTCGGCATTGTAAAACCTCCTGGAGCTCATCTGTGGGGGTCGCACCATTGGTCCGCCTCTTCCTTTGCACCCACCCCCAAACCTCGTTGTAGGTCTGCTCCTTTAGGAGGTGAGGAGGAAGGCAGGGATAGTCGAGGACTCACTCCAGGCTGTGGGATGAATGCATTTGGGATGAATGACAGAAGTGCCAGGATACAGTCCAAAAAGATTTCTCTGAGTGGTTGTGGGAATTTAAGTAGACATTAGTAAACATTAACACAAAGGTGAGGCGGTCATGTGGCCTCACCATGCAATAAATAAAGCCACTTATAGCCTAAAGTGCAAAGTAAGCTGAAACACATTTCTCTTTTTTCAATATGCAATATGGAAAGTTGCCTTCGTGTCATCAAATATTAGACAAAAAACGCAGAGGCACGAAAAAAAATACAAAAGTGAATATACTGATTATAAACTAAAGTATAAAACAATAATACACTGTGGAGCAATAAGATTAGCAGCTCAGACTGGATCTGGCTACAATGTTGATACTTATAATGTTCAACATACAGTAATATTACACTTAAAGTGTTCACCACAAGTTTACCAATAACAGCCATTAAGTGGATCTAAATTCATTATGCAGTCCTTTGTGTTTGAAGGACGGGCTGAGACAAAACAAACTCCTATGCTGGAGTTAAAATCATTTAACAACACTAATACCAACAAATTAACAAGCAGCCATGTGGTTCATGTGTGAAAACATTTTTGTGCACAATACAGCAAACACAGAGCAACATTTGGAGTCGTGTTTGTGCCCCCTTCAAAATTAGGTCTAATATTCTCTCATTTTTAGCTCTGTACTGTTCTGGTTTTTTACATATATCAATAAAAACCAACATATCTGTTGAACAGTGTATCACCTCCGTGTGACTCTCCTCCTCTGCCTTCATGACTTAGTAATTCTACGAACTAATAGACTGTGATGGTGAGATAGAAACATGGTGGTAACAAGGTTTCACCCAGACTGCACCTACCTTGTTACCAAACCAGCAGGCTGAAGATATGAATCACACATTCCACACACCCACGCTCAAACATGACCATGAACTCAGCATGTATTCTGGGCCAGTGCAAACGAAACCATTTTATCATTACATTACATGCAACATGTACGTTACCCTTGACAAGAAGTATTTTCAGCTACAGGAACCGAAAGTAATTTTTATCAATATCAAATCAATGTCATCAACATAGCTGATTGTGCTTTATATGCATGTTGGGTCTGAACTGTGCAGAAGTACGGACTGAATTCAAAAACTTCATTATCTTTGTTTTCAGTATTATGTCAAATCTTCACATGTGGTAAGACAGTTTATACCATGTCTCTTTCCTTCTATCTACAAATGCAGTTGCTGGGTTTTAATAGGCTGCTTGAATGAGTTGAGTAAACTCCAGGCAGTTCATTCATTCAACTCAACATTCGAAGTTTTAACAGCTCCAGAAGTGTGAAAATGCAAACTAGGCATATTAAGCTGAATTAACTTCAAATCTTTGTATGTACAGTCTATGCACTACACACTGATGCTTTGCACACATTGGTTAAAATCTGCTTAACAGAACGTTGTCAAGGTAATGATGAATTTTACAATTTTACATGGAGAGTTATGTAAGCCCTTTCACAAAGAGAGGGATCCAGCTCATCTTACTCAAGTTGCAGATGGATGTTTGATTTTGGTGATATTTCAGAGAAATGAGGTAATAAAACAGCAGAGATTCAATCTATGACCACAGGAATCAATGTGTATTGTTGCACTATATTAATGAAACAGAGGTGGATGTGAAGTTCAGAACATTTCTCCCTGAGAGGTGGAAACATCAGACGACCTTCAAGTCCATGAAAAGAACCCATGGGACTTTATTATGTTTCACTGTGTTTATATAAGGACTTCCAGCACAGAGACACACAAAGTGACCACCTCTTTGAATCAAGAAACAATACTATTTAACATCTATACCATAATTCATAAGCTAAGACAAGTATTTACTTCATAGTCTGACAATGGAAAAAGAGTATCTCATAAATAACAGCCTTCAGTCTCCATTTACAGGCTGCTTAAAATCCTCCTCTTCATGAACAAAAAGATGGACAAGGTTCATGAACTCAGGGGACAATGATCTCTACCTTTGCTGAGCTGCTGTAAATGTTTGATTATGAAGTGTCTTTTATTTTTGAGTTAATGATATGCATCTTATATTTGTGGTTATTCACCATTATGTGCTTTCTGTTTCTTAAATCCTATGTAAATGAGCATGTGCATCTTTTGTTTGATGAGATCACTCCCGTCAGTATTTCTCCATCTTTTTTTATTTAGAAATACTGGTTTTACCTTCAGGGTATTTAATTAATACAAATCACTCAGAGTTTAGGTACCCATCATATCCTCTGCTTTTGCAATACCAGCATTGACAGAGGTTCTACATTTTGTGGCCCATCTATATAATAACATTTGCAATCATAGATAACAGCTGTTTTATAATTCATGTAGTGTATAAATATGATCCACACCACCAGGTAATCTATTATGGAATTTATTTTATGTACAAACAGAAACAATTTTGTATAAACTGTACAATTTCTTTAACATGCTGAGACAAAAAAGGCATAAACACAGAGGAAATACAAAACAAACTGTAAACTAGGGATGTGGACTTACTGTGCATATATACAACTTATAAATTATGTCATTCACTTTCTCAATATAGCCTAAATTATAGATTCATTTCTATTGCTTGGATCATGGCATTAAAATGCATGATCATCATGGATCAGATAAGGAGTGAAATCATTTTAGGAGATCATCTCTTCAGCTTCTGTGCCATTTCTTTTCTCCTTGTTAATGCAGACATGGTGGAGCTCATCTTCAGGAAGAGGCATATCATATGCAGGCAACAATGATATGAAGTATTATTTGAGTTTGAGAAAAACTACTCATTCCAACTCAGTGAAACGAGCGAACATGGCTTTGCGGACTGCGTCTTTATAAGTGTCAGAAGCAGAGAGGGTGTAGTTGGTGCCTTTGGTGCCGAGCCCAGCTCCTTTTGTTCTCAACTGTGCCTGAGGAGGGAAACAACAAACTTCAGTACTTTGTAGAGATATATACCATTTTGGGGGCTGGTGGGCACAGGGTGCACTTAAGGAGCAACCAGGTCATTGTTGTGAATACCTCAATTGGCGTAGTGATGCCCTGTTGGTTGCGACCAAGTCCTTTTCCCTCCTTCCAGCCCATGGCCTGCAGCATTTTGTTCCCGATGTTGTCACTGTTGAGGCCGTCCTTTGTGGGCTGCTCATAGTTTCTGCACAGTAAAAAGGGGATGTTTAGTGTTTTTCAATTTAAATATGAAAAAATTAACAACTTGACAGGAAACTTAAAAGATAACGTATTAGTACTTAAAAAAACCATAAAGGTGCTTACATGACTGGTGTTGGTTGGCTAAATTTCTTCTTTTTGGGTGCCGGTGGTTCTGGGATGCCATATTTTTCTCTCCTCTCAGCTGCTCTGTCTCTGTACTTCAGCTGTTCACAAGAAAAATAAAAACATTGTGAACATTATCACTTTCAAAGAAGAACAATGCGACTCTCAAACAGCTGGATGATTCCGTATTGAGCCAAACCTCAGACTCTTTCCTCTCCAACTCTTCCAGCTCTGCTTCAGTCATTTTAGATCTGTGGAGAACCTCCAGGTTTTTCTAGAAAGAACAAGTGAAAAGATGGTTTTCCTGACTTGACACTTTTGATTCTCCCATTTCAGGTCTGACGAGAAAATGCATGGTGTTACCTTGTGGAGGTCAGAGAGTTGCTGATGACGAACTAGACTCTCTTTATTGGGAAACTGTCTCCTACAGAGCAGGCAGGCTAACTTGGTCCAATCAGTCAGCTTGTCATTGACTCCATCACCACCATCCGGCTCTGCTCCGCCCTCTTCTGGGTCGCTGTCTCCACTGTAGGCTGCCACAAGGCCACACTGACCACACCATGGATAGACAAAGGCATGTATAAACATTGTTAACAGATAAAACAACCTGGATATAACAGAACGTTTCCACTGAAACTAGAATGGCAAACCTCATGTTTTGGAATGAGTAAGAGTCTCACCTTGGAAGAGTGTGCTGAGCTGGTTGGTGACTCTTCCTCAGCGCTCCGTAGCACTTCTGGCATGAATCTTTCTAGACCTCCCGCCTGCTAAAAAAATTATAACATTCATACAATCAATTAATTTGCATTGGGTCTGAGGCCTACATCTGCACATCTGCACTCTCTGACCTTCATATATAACTGTCTACCGGATTACCTTCTTTTCAAAAAGTGTGAAGCCAGCATCAGCAGCTGCAGCCTCCTTCCTCTCTTCTTGACTAATAGGCTGAAAGCTGCTCCTGAAGTTCTCTTTCTGCTTGTTGAGACTTTTAGCCCAACGCTCCATGTCTTTAGCAATCTGAAAGAATTAAGCAGATTTGAACAGGAACTTATTCCCCAAAGAAAATTCAAAATTCAATTCAAATACGCTACGATAAGTATTCAGAAAATGCTACAGAGCAGACGCAGTAGAAGGAACTATGTGCTGTGGTGGGTTTATGATAATACCTGCTGAGCAGTCTTGCTTTTGGGTTTTTCCTTTTTCTCCTTGCCTTCTTTGCCTCCTGCTGCATTATCATTTTGTCCAGCATTTGGGTCAGTTGAGGCAGGTAAGTACGCCTGCTTCTCACTGTCCCAGTACAGATACTGCTGGGTCTGAGAGTTGTAGTAATACTGAAAGGATGCAAAAAACAAATACGTACATGATCAATATGAATTCCTGACAAACGATCACCAATGTGACAGTAAACAAAGAGGTGTCTCACATAGCTGTGAATCACTACTTACATGCGTGTTTGGGTCATAGTAGAGGCCAGTCTGAGGATCATAATAGTAGCCAGAGGACTCATCATACTGATAGGTGGATGTATCAGGGACAGCTGTCAAATATACAGCATGATATCATTAGCA